CTACAACTCCCCAATACCACTTATGTTTCTTAATTTTTCAACCACTGCTTCTTACTTACTACAGATTTTAGCCAAAGTGTGTGGGTTTGAGCAGCGGCGTTGGCTCAAAGCGCTGTTCTCCCGGTGATGCCAAGAGTAATGGAACTAATGTCTGTATGTGTCATCCACCAAAACAAAAATAAATGGTTTGAACAGAAAAGGGAAAAGAAAATTTGATGTTGAGTGAACTGTTGGTTAATAAGATCCTACTAGGACCAGTGTGTGTGTACGTACTCTATGTGTATGTGTATCTGCATGGGTGCGTGTGTATGTGTGTGAAAATGTGTGCGTGTTTGAGAGTGTGTTGTACTTGTGTGTGTATGTGTGAATGCATGTGTGTATGTGTGCGTATGTATAAGTGTATGTGTGCGTGTGGGTAAGTCTAAGTGTGTGTGCATGCATGAGTGTGTGTGTATGTGTGCGTATGTTTGTGTGTGTGTATTTGTGTACGTATAGCTGTATGTGTATGTATAAGTGTATATGTATGTGTGTGTAAGTGTGCATGTGTGTGTGTATATTTGTGCGTGTGTGTGCCTATGTTTGTGTATGCGTGTGTGTATTTGTGTACGTACAGTATATGTGTATGTATAAGTGTGTGTGTTCGTGTGTGTGTGTGTATTTGTGTATGTGTGTGTGTGTATGTTTCTGCGTGTGTGTGCCTGTTTGTGTTCATGTGCATTTTAAACCAGACAGACGGAAAAAACATCTGCATCAAAGTGTTGACGTTTGCTTCTAGCGTCACAGATTGCTCACAGTTTGGAATAATACTACGCCGCTAAAAATAGTCCCACGTACAGTATCTGTTCCAATTATCTTTTTGGCGCCAAACTCACCAGCAACGGCCTCTGTGAAACCAAGTCCTGCTCCCTCTAAAACACATACAATCGTCCTCTGATTCTTGCTTTCCAGAGTGTGACTCCAGTTCAAATGTGTTTTAATGAACAGCCCAGGAGCCACAGGTGACGCCGGTGATAAGGTGCTAGCCTAATCCATAGGGGATTAACATTGGAAAGAACATATTATTATTATCTACCTGCATGTTCCCCACGGATTATGATTAGGAAATGAAAAAAATGAAAAAGTGCTATCTCTAACTCGAAACTTTGAAGGTTTCGAGTGTTGTACAACGTTTTATAACCCGTAATTATACAACAACAGGCAAGAAGATCAGGACAAGGGATTTTGCAGATTTAACATTTTTGGGTTGCCACGACGATACAGGTATTTGTTGTGCTTTTATTTATTGTTTATTTCATTGTATGGTATAAATGTACATGTACACTTTGTTCTCTGCATTGGACCCATCCCGTTATGCCTCTAGGGAATAATCATAGCACATTAAAAAGAGTGAAGATACAATAATTCAGCCGTAGGAACAACTAAACAGATTTAATTTTTCCTAACAATTTTAAACCTGGATTTGAACATTTTCCGAAGCCCGTCTCACACTTTCAGGAAGACTGTTCCAGATTTGTAGCCACATGAATCAGAAACGCTGCCTCTTCATGTTCAGTCCTGACTCTGGTTCCAGCAGGAGGCCAGTCCCTGTGCTCCTCAGAGTCCGAGTTGGTTCATATGGCACTAACATGATGTACTTTCAGGATGGTTTGTCCAGCACTCCCTTGAAAAAGAGGTTCTTAATCTCAATGGGACTTTCCTGGTTAAAAAAAAGGTTACATAAAATAAATACAATCAAACTTTGGTGCGAGGCCATGGAGACTGAATTTTGATTCTTGACCCTGAAAGTGTGAAACTTTTTTAGTGCAAAGTTTTCAATGCTACGTAAAACTTTATAAATGGACTTATGATGGGTTCCTACATCTTCTTGGACGTATGCAATATTTCATCCTTTACCTGTGGATTAAGAAAGCCATCTGTTTGTGCCATTGTCCATATTATGATGCATTGAGGAAAGAAAAAACACACAAAAAGTAATTGGCTTTTCATAAGAAACATCACATTGTTTCTACTGCTATTCTTAACAATGATGTGAAGTCTGGAGGAGAAGCTTTTTCATACCTTAAACATCCTGACAAGTCTCTGTTGAAGGATTATACACTCTAACACACAACGCAACAAAATAGCTGGCACTGTCTGTAAGCAATTTGCTCCGAATATTGTGATTCCTAGTTTTACCACAAATCCCCAGTGGTATAATTGAATAAAATGTGTTTCCAGCTAAAATATTAGGGGACTGTCAAAGCCTGGGAGCGGTGGAATCTTGACACTTTGGGTGGTTTTGTAGCCTCACCCGTCGCTTTTCTGTCTGGCCTCTTTGCCTGCTGAGCTAAAGCAAAGTAATAAAATATACAGAGGCGCCTTGAAGTGCCTAAAAGATAACAAATACAGTGGAATGCATTATTCAGACACAATATGACAAATTTATGCGGTTTCTTCCCAAAGCTTCTCTCTCTCAGCTCTTACCTGCGTTTAATTTTTCCCATCTTTTGTTTTATTTTCCTTTCAAAAATGCATTGATAATACAGACGTGTTGTGTGCTTACTGGTGCAACTTTATTGCTGAAATAGATATATTTTTCCAGCGATTACATTTGCTAAACATTCCTCTTGCTCCGGCTTCAATTTCTTGATAGAACCAGACCGGATTACTTTACTATTGCATTTTTCGCCATTACCAAACTACAACCTGCCCGTTCAGCGCAAACTCTTGACTTCATCCACAACTAACTACAACACCCGCCTCCCACGCTCGCTGATTTGTCGGTCGAAATTCAACCGATTGTAATCGCTAACATGGGGACTAGACCCAGACGTTACATGCAGTGAAATGATGACTGAACGAAGTGTACGGATGGACATTTTTTAAACCTAATCCCTACAAGAAGCGTTTACAGCTAGTGAAGAAGCATTGCAGCAACTTATATTGTATATTATGTGTGCTCTTTGTATGGTCTTAAAGAAAAAAAATAATAACACAGACACATACGCTTTTGCACAACACACTCACACACACATACACACACATACATAAACACACAGACGGAGGTGCCCAGACTTACATACAGTATTACGCTTTTACATAATGCCAAGAACATCTAAGCAATCAAATAGCATAGATGTTGTTAATGGGAGAACCACTTTTTAAACCTGAGTTGTCCAGGGCTGACAACAAAGATTGTAAAACTCTTTTGACTGGGTTTGGGCTGTTTTGGGCTTTGACATGAGGTTGATTCACACCATTAGCGACACCAATGGACACAATCAAAAACAAATGACAAAATAAAATAATTAGGTTAACGACTGGATTCCAAAGGTCTTGAGATTCACAAATTTGTCATGTACTTTTTTATAATGTGAAATAATATCTTCAGAGGAAACTATATGGAGTAACAAGTTTCTCATGCTACCACCAGAGGGAGATGTAGAATATTTGTTTATATATTTTTTCCAAATTTAAATTTACCAGTTGGAATTACTGCCATGTGATGGGCCAAAATTAATCAATGAGCAATTCTTTAATTTTTTCAAGACAGAAAACTGCTCTAAGTGTGATGTGAAAGTGGCCTGTAGGCGAAATACAAAAAAAGATTACTTACTTACTGGTCGCGGTACAAAAGCATCATGCCATTGTATTATTGTTCTGATATTAGAGAGAATGGATTTAAAAACGATCCCAGTTCTGTTTTTGAGAGACCAATGTAACCTGGTTTTATTCAGCACTTTGTATGAATTAGGCTATACAAACTTGCCTTGCCTTTAACCCTATAAGCCCGCGTGCATCGGTGCCGATGCACGCGCACATGTTTTACAAATAATCAATTTACTCGTGAACGGTAAAACGTAGCAACTTACTTTTTTTTCCTCTGTGAAGTACGTAATCAGGGCTTTCCGAAACTAGTTTTGATTTGTCTGTGCGATGCACGGAGGATAAACTACGTTTGTCTGAAAGTCCGTGTCCAAAGCATGACCCGTGAGGTACAAACAGCTGTGAGATACAAACACACGGGGACTGCCAAAGATCGTCAGAGAGTGAGATCTCTCACTCCTCTGCGTTTCCTTGTTCTCCCACAGTTGAAACTACAGCTGCGATTGCAAAAACCGGCTGAAGAGTGCGCATTATTGATAAAGACGATAATAAATACAGTAAAATGACATTATGTGTATATGATGTATATAAATATATGTATTAAATAAATAATTGATGTTTTTTTTTTTTTTGGCTCAGTTTTTTATGTTTTACGTTTTTTACAGCTGTACTACAGAAGCAACCCCAGCATTATAGACAAACTGCTTCAAGAAGGGCATCAGGAGTACAGAGTTTTTTGCTTTTATAGTGGAATTTTGTAAAAAGTATAATAGTTAGAGATTCAATTTTTTCCCCCATTATCCCCAAGACCATAAATAACATTTCTATGCAGTGTAAAAAGTTGTTTATAGCATTTCATTGTGTTTTTTCAATACATTTTTGTTAAATTGATTTTCCGTTTGGTTTTTTTCTTTGTCTTTATAATTCCATAATTTTTATATAATTCATATGACAGCTTTACAATATGAATATTCTAAAACCCCAGGTTGTACTGAAAAAAACAAAGTATACTGCTTGACTCTGCATCAAAAGATGACTGTTTTATGAACCATTATACACAAAGAAAACCAGGCGAGGAAAGTTCCCCAAAATGACCCATGGGCAAAGTCTTTCTGTTGGCACAAAAACAAAATGTACTACTTATATTTTTGTTAGGTATACCCCATCTTTAAGGCAAACGGGTCATAGCCACGTTATTGTTTTGATAAAGTGACATCGTATTCTGACAAAACAAAATTGAGACCGTCACCAAAACAAGTCACAATCTTCAATTTATAATGTGTTCCGTAGCATGAATGTTTTCAGAGGAATGTTTAATTCAAAAGGCAGCTGGTGTGTAATTCCCTCTCAGCGTGCCATCAAGCTGTCACGTCTCAATGTCACGTACTGCTTTTAAAATCCAAATCGCACTGCAGATGTTTACCAGAGGAGCAGAGAGGAGCAGAGAGGAGCAGAGAGGAGCAGAGAGGAGCAGAGAGGAGCAGAGAGAGGAGCAGAGAGAAGCAGAGCAGAGAAGAGCAGAGAAGAGCAGAGAAGTGCAGAGAGGAGCGGAGAGAGGAGCAGAGAGAGGAGCAGAGAGGAGCAGAGCAGAGCAGAGAGAGGAGCAGAGAGGAGCAGAGAGGACCAGAGAGGAGCAGCGAGGAGCAGAGAGAGGCAGAGAGAGGAGCAGAGAGAGGCAGAGAAGAGCAGAGAGGAGCAGAGAGAGGCAGAGAGAGGAGCAGAGAGGAGCAGAGAGGAGCAGAGAGGAGCAGAGAGGAGCAGAGAGGAGCAGAGAGAGGCAGAGAGAGGCAGAGAGAGGAGCAGAGAGGAGCAGAGAGGAGCAGAGAGAGGCAGAGAGAGGAGCAGAGAGGAGCAGAGAGGAGCAGAGAGGAGCAGAGAAGAGCAGAGAGGAGCAGAGAGGAGCAGAGAGGAGCAGAGAGAGAGAGAGAGGAGCAGAGAAGAGCAGAGAGGAGCAGAGAGGAGCAGAGAGAGGAGCAGAGAAGAGAAGAGAGGATCAGAAAGAGGAGCACAGAGGAGCAGAGAAGTCCAAGGAAGAGCAGACTGAGGAGCAGAGAAGACATTTTCTCGTACACAATGTCTCGTACAAATTGTATATATACTGTATATATAATATGTGTTTGAATTTTTCTATAATTTTGTCTGTTCTTGTACAGCTGCCTGCAGGTGGAGTATCGCTTTGGCACAGATCTGTGTCCTGGCAGAACTGCTTTTCCATACGACCATTAAGAAAAGTTCTCAAAATTCACATCAATTTAGTTTTCTCTCTTGTCTTCGTTCTGCAGGCTAATGGGGGGGGGGGGGGGGGGGGGGGGGGTGTTGCTATAGTCGTCTGTTGGGGGGAAACACTTCATTGTGCGATGATTAGAATGTTTATGATCATTATGAGCCACCTGCGCTTCTCTACGTCGGTGCCACGGCCAATCAAAAACCTCATCTTATCACCATGGAAACGTCACCTTTTGTCTATAGTCAATCACAGTCACTTTGGTCTTTTTAAAAAACAAGGGCCCGACTGGACTGAGGTAAACAGAAAATGATTCAAATGTCTGTGATGGGCCAGCCTCATCCCGCCGCTAAAAATGGAGCCAAGACTTTTTTTTTTCCAATCGAGCGGCTGCAGTTGTGTCCAATCCGCAATTATCTCCAAGCATCTGTAACAAAAGCTAACGACCGTGGGCTGTTTAATACAACGGCCAGAAAACCCCCCGGTAAAATGGTTACCAGGCATGAAGGAGACGCAACCTCTGTGACTTTTGGCAATTTGAAGGCAATGGTGGTAAAGCAAACAAAAGACAAAGGCAGCTAAAGAAAGAAAGAAATGTTTTTGCAAAAATGGATTGAGGGAAAGTAAAAAGTCGAACATGTCAAAAAGGCAGTGTGCGAGATGGAGTGGGCTGAGTCGGGCGTTCTTACAAACTGTGTTCCAATAGTTCTGCAGGAAAATGAAAATATTTATCGCAGTTTTGAGCTGATGTTTAGAATTAATGTGAGATCCACTTTATCAACTTCATGTCCTCACTTACTTGCAGCGATTTGATAAACAGTAAAGTTAAAGGTATATGGGATTATTTTTTACTTCCGGGTGGATCATCTAAACCATGGGTGTCAGAGTGTTTCGACCTCTCTCTGGTCTTGCCTGATTACTTGCCTTGATGAAGACCTGAGAGGAGTCAAAACGCGTCACAACGTCCCCACAATAATAAAGGATTCTTCTAAGGCTGAAACGACGCGTCGACGTAGTCGACGTCATCGATTACGTAAATACGTCGACGCAGTTTTTGTGCGCCGACGCGTCGCTTGTTTACATCATGGCGGCGCGCGATGCTGGCGATGCGAGTGAGGGGAAAAAGGCACGCCAAAAGTCATCAAAAGTGTGGGAGTATTTCCAGAAACGGCCAAATAATGTTGTTTTATGCACACTGTGTCGAGCGGAAATGGCCTACCACAGCAGCACAACGGCTATGAACGAACATTTAAAACGAAAACACCCGACAGCGTTCATGCCATCGCCATCAACCAGTCAATCGGCCGCGTGAGTATTTTTCATTACACAAAAACATTAATGTATTATTTGTATCTGCGTTGTAAATTCATAATTTAAGCACTGTTTCGCTCTGAGAGGCGTCAAAAACGCGCGTGTCTATCGCTACATAACGTCACGTTAGTTGTGTAACTAACTAAACTACCTTTGTACAACATTAACAGTTACTGTATGTACAAACGAACAATTAACTTTAATCATACAATCATTGTTGTGTTATTAAATCAATTTAACAATATAATGTGTGTAGCTTAATTCATCTTTTGTATTAAAGTAAGCTGTAGTTAATTTTCATGTATATTTAAAATGAAAAATTAAATATTATCTCTTATGTTGCAGCAAACGACAAACCAGCGTTCAGAATTTTTTCCCGAAGAGGCATGGGACTGATGAATGCACACCCCAAATGGCCGCTGAATTGACTGACGGTGTCCTGGAGATGATTGTTGTGGACATGAGGCCATTAAATATGGTAGATGGGGAAGGGTTTAAAAAAATGATTAAAAGGTTTCACCCTGGCTACACATTACCATCAAGAACCCACTTCACTAAGCTTATGGAGCAAAAATACACAAAAAAAATGGAGGAAGTAAAGGCATTCTTGAAAAATGTGAAAGGAAAACTAACACTCACAACTGATGCATGGACTAGTATGGCCACTGAAGCTTACCTTGGTGTCACCGTTCACTTTGTTAATGATGAGTGGGAGCTGACCTCAATTAACCTGACAACAATGCCCCTCCAGGAAAGACACACTGCAGAAAATATTGCCTGTTGGGTTGAGGATGTTGTCAATAAGTTTGAAATAAACATAAAACATGTTCAAGTCATCGTGCATGACAATGCTGCAAATGTTGTTGCAGCTTTAAGACTTCTTGAGGAAAGACATGGTGTTTCATCCCTCAGATGTGCTGGCCATACTCTACAGCTTGTAGTTAACCATGCTCTAAAGGACAACCACATCAGCAGAGCTTTAGGAGCAGCAAGAAGTTTGGTGGAGCACTTTAAAAAAAGTGAGCTGGCCAGTACTAAACTTAAGGTTAAGCAAAAACAAATGGGTTCTCCTGACCACAGCCTCATACAAGATGTGTCTGTGAGATGGAACAGTTCCTTTTACATGATTAGTCGCCTGCTTGAGCAGAGGTGGCCAATAACAGCAACTCTGTCAGATCCAGAGGTCACTCAAAGAGGGAAGCGTTTTCTGGATCTTAAGGCTGATCAGTGGAGTTTGCTCGAAGAACTTGAACAAGCTCTTAAACCCTTTGAATGCGCAACTGTGTACCTGAGTGGAGAATCTTATGTAACAGTTTCCGCTGTACCTCTGCTGGTGAAAGGGCTTTGGAAGGCTACACAAACTGCTTTTGAAAATGCTTCAGTCAAGTGTTTTCAGGTCACTGCTGCACATGAGATAACATCCAGGTGGGAAGCTGAGACCACATTCAAGGATGATGGACCAAATGTGTGCATATTAGCAGCTGCACTTGACCCACGATTCAGGAAGCTGAAATTCCTCACTGCAGATGAATGTTTAAACGTTCAAGAAAAGCTGAAAGCAATAATTCTGGAGGAGAAAAGAAGGGCAAATGAGACAAAAACTCAACAACAGGACACAGCAATACAAGAGGAAAGACCAGTTGCTGACAGGCGGCCTGTATCTTTACTAGACACACTACTTGGCTCAGATTCAGATGAACTCAGCAACAATGAGGAAGACAACAATGACAATAATGATGCTGAAGTGGTCAGAAATGAGTTACTGTCTTATTTCGGAGAATCCCCCATTTCCAAGGATGAAAACCCATTAAAATGGTGGAAAGAAAATGAGGCAAGGTTTCCAAATCTGGCAATGCTGGCTCGGTCTTACCTCTCTGTTCCAGCCACATCGACCCCTTCTGAGCGACTATTTTCAGCTGCTGGGAATATTGTAAACAAGAAAAGAACCAGCCTTACCCCAGAGCATGTAGACATGCTAACCTTTCTTCATTACAACTGTTAGACTGGAATGAGTGGAATTAGTTATTGTGTGTTGGACTGGATGTTTATTTTAAAAGCAATACTTTTATTCAAATGTTTACAGTGCGTGAGTGTTCCAGAATATTTTCATTTGCACTTTGTTTTGTGCTGGTTATTTATTTTTTATTTTGCACATTTTAAAGCAAATAAGCTATACTTTTATTCAAATGTTTACAGTGAGTGTTCCAGAATATTTTGATTTACTGAGTTGCCCATTGAGCCATAATTTTATTTGGTTAAATAAAAGCCATGCCATTTGAAAATACTGGCCTACGTCAACTTTTTCCCCTTCATTTTAAATGAAAAAATAAATCGGTAAAAGGAAAAATAATCTATAGATTAATCGAAAAAATAATCTATAGATTAATCGATTAATCGAAAAAATAATCTATAGATTAATCGATAGAAAAATAATCGTTAGCTGCAGCCTTAGATTCTTCAAGTCTCGGACCTTTTCCTCTTTGTTTTCTAAAGAACCAATCCTGATTCAAACGTGTCCTGCCTTCACTGACACAGCATGTATTTTATCACGACTCAAACCCTTTTCTACTTTAAATATGGAAGATAAAAACACATCCTAATGGACAAAAAAAATTGAATTCAATGTGACACTAAAGCCTCTCAATCCTCTGCTTTTTGAACGGTTAATATCAATCAACTTTTCTTTGTAGATAGGCCTGTCTTGGTAACAAATGTTGCAAGAAAGTTTTTCTCAGAAATTATTGCGATAAGCGAAAATATTGTCGTTCTGAGATCATTTGCATATAATACAATGATAATGATGCAGGTACACCTTTTATTTTTTAAAGAATATTTAACATTAGAACACAATAAATGAACAAACAACCAAAAACATTAAGAAAAATTGACTATCAGTCTCTGTTAAAAAAAATTAACTTGAATAAAACTGCCAGGACCTTTGTAAACAAAGTTATGAAACAGATGCCTCACTAGGCCATATCCAAAAATCGTTTAAGAAATAATTTACGCCTGTGGGGAGGCCGGACTCTGACAAATGACTGACATGAGGGTTCACTCATTGTTACTCTATTGGGGCCTTCAGACCACCGACGCTGGAACGCAGCTTCTGCACGCACTAGAAGCACATTTTCTAAATTTCAGACGCTCAGGGTGTTCAGACCAGGCCTGCGGTGGCGCCCGCCTAAGTGGCGGAAGTAGCGGGCGGGCTTTGATGCTAACAGATTTAAGCTAGCGACTTTTTGTGTAAAGTTCTTCTCCAATAATGCAGCTCTGCAGCGTCTCTGTTTCTGAGACGTTCCAGAGACTTTATATAACAGCAGTATAAGTTCACGGAGGTGCGCCATGAGTTTATTTTATCATTAAACGTTACTTACGCATCGGCAAACACGCTAACGCTAGCTGTGCTAGTTTAGTCACTACTAGAGAATGAGAACTCAGGCTGGCATATGCTCACAAGCATTGTGTCCCCCATTGTCAGTCCTAGTCCTGGTGTAGCTCCTGTTTTGTATTTTGTATTTTTGATTTTTTTCAGTCTGCTCTAGACCGCTAATGTCCCTGTGACCACTTTGCTGCTCTCTGACCCGAGAGAGATAGGGAGAGCGAGACGAGGAAAACAAACAAGCATGCAAATGGCATTTATCACGCCAGAAAAATAATCTACTTTACTACACAAGGCAACACAACCCATATC